TATCTATCTATCTATCTATCTATCTATCTATCTATCTATCTATCTATCTTTCTCCCTCTCTTTCTTTCTCCCTCTCTTTCTTTCTCTCTCTCTCTCTCTCTCTCTCTCTCTCTCTCTCTTTCTCTCTTTCATTTTTTTGAGACAGGGATTCTCTGTGTTGCTTTGGCTGTCCCGGAACTCACTTTGGAGACCAGGCTGGCCTCAAACTCACAGAGAACCACCTGCCTCTGCCTCCAAAGTGCTGGGGTTACAGGCATGCACCATCATTGTCCAGCTTAGATTTTTTTCTTAATGTATTTTCATTAAGTAAAGTATAAAGCATAGGCCTGTAATAGAAGTCTAAAGCCACATAGAGGAGTGAACACTAACCAGAAAGTGGGCAGTATTCTAATCCACACTTCCACCAACTGATGCTTCAGTGAAAAATATTTAGTTCTTATTTCTGGGCCTCAAGTTTAAAAAGATAAATTATCTCTAACACTCACCATAACTGAAAAGCTTAAACACATCATTTAATTATTTCTTTTTCCTTTATAAGAGAGCATAATGATTTTTATTAAAAAAAAAACAGTTTGCTAAGTTTCATCAAATGTAAGTTTTCACATTTCCCCATGACTGAGAAATCTATCTTTAAGTGAAAATCATCACCATTCCTATTGATGATCCTTCTTTCTTTCTTAATGGTATGTAGAATAATGGTATAATCTTATATTGAAAACATTGCAGTAGTAAATCTTCAAAATTCAATTTGGTGGTTACTAAGGATATTTTAATTGACAGAAGGAGAATAAAGAAACACCAGAGGACTGAATTTGAGTGATATGAAACATGTCAGTTACTCAGGCAGTGTGTATGGGGGGAGACAGGCGGCAGCATCTCAATATTGAATGGGAGTTGAATGAGAACCAAGCTGCTATGACAGTGTTGTTTAAACCTCCAGTATACAAACACTTGACTCATGGCACTTTCACTTTGTAGTCTGTCCAGGTAACCCAAAGGAAAACCAGTGTAAAGGGGGAGCTCAGTGAGCACCCTAGAAAATAGGAGTTGGTATCACGTTCGCAGAGTACATTTAAGCCCTTTCTAGCAGTACTTTGTGGTCTGAAGAAGTCACTGGTTGATTGCTGGTTTTAATTTTGGCCTAATTCTTTTCTGCCAAGACAGTACAAAACGAATTTTATCTCTCAAGGTAAACTAGAGTGTGTTGGTGCCCCCTAGAGGGCACTGAGATTCCTGCAGTGAGAAAGCAGCAGACCCCTTCCAGATGCTGCAGACTGAAAATGGGATCCTTCCCAGAAAAATATTATTTTTAATCCTTAGTTTGAATATGCACTCTTATTTTTAATCCCATTTACTAGTAATTAAAGTCTTAGCCATGTGTGATGGCACACATCTTTAAACGCAGCGCTTGGGAGGCAGAGGCCGTTAGAGAACAGTTCTAGGCTAGCATAGGCTACTTAGAGAAGTGGTTCTCAACCTGTGGGTCAGTGACCCCCAAAACTTTCACAGGGGTCCCTAAAACCATTGAAAAACACAGATTACGATTCATAACAGTAGAAAAATTACAATTATGAAATAGCAATGAAAATAACTTTATGGTTGGGGCTAACCATAACATGAGGAACTATATTGAAGGGTCACAGCAATAGGAAGGTTGAGAACTACTGAAATATAGAGTTCTAGGCCTTCCAGAGCTACAGAGTGACACTGTGTCTTAAAAAAAAAAATTAAGTATGTTTGTTGTTCGTAATGTATTTTTTATTGACTTTTTTTTTTTAATTTTTGCTCTGTCCCAATTTTCATTCTCTGCTTTAGAAAATAAATTGGGATGACTTAGCTGCCAAAAAAGTGCCTGCGCCCTTCAAGCCAGTGATCCGGGATGAGCTTGATGTGAGCAACTTCGCTGAGGAGTTCACAGAGATGGACCCTACCTACTCTCCAGCTGCCCTGCCCCAGAGCTCTGAGCGCTTGTTTCAGGTAAAGTCCCAGGGCACCAGACATGCTTTAGAAGAAAGGCAGTTTTCCCTGATGAGGTGGTTTGTCAGCATCGGAAAGTCAGGGTTCTATAATCTTTTCAAGATAAAATGCAAGTCTTCTATCTCCCCCTTCTTCCATAAGATTCACTGCACTCTGCACATGGTTTGGCTATGAGTCTCAGCATCTGCTTCAATACTCTGATGGGTAGAGTTTTCAGAGGCCATCAGTGGTAGGCTCCTGTCTTGTTCCCTGTCTTCTGCTTCCAACGTTTGCCCTTCTGAATGGGGATTAAGCATCTTCCCTAGGGTCCTCCTTCTTGTTTAGCTTCTTTAGGACTATAGTTAGTATGTTTATCTTATATGGCTAATATCCGCTTATAAGTGAGCATATATCATAAGTGTCTTTCTGCTTCTGGGTTACCTCACTCAGGATGATCTTTTCAAGTTCCATCCATTTGCCTGCAAATTTCATGATTTCCTTGTTTTTAATTGCTAAGTAGGGGTTCCTGCAGAGACTGATGCATCAACCAAGGACCATGCGTGGAGAGGACCTAGACCCCCTGCTCAGATGTAGCCTATGGGCAGCTCAGTCTCCTTGGGGGTTCTCTAATAAGGGGAGCAGGGACAGTCTCTGGCATGAACTTAGTTGCCTGCTCTTTGATCACCTCCCCATGGTGAGGTAGCCTTACTAGGCCTCAGAGAAAGAGGATCCAGACAATCTTGATGAGAGACATGATAGGCTAGGGTCAGATAGTAGGGAAGGAGCACCTCCCCAATCAGTGGACTAGGGGAGGGGCACATGGCAGGGAGAAAGAGAGAGGGTGGGAGAGGGAGGAGATGAGGGAGGGGCCTACAGCCGGGATACAAAGTGAATAACTTATAATAAATAAAAATAATATTAGTAATATTTTTTAAAAGATTAAATGCAGAGATATGTTAAGGTACAATCCTGAAGCTTACAGATTGCTAAATAGCAGATTTATTACAGTTTTTGTGTGTTTGTTTTAGATTGGGGGGGGGTGGTTGTTGTTTTTCTGGAGGGATTGGGTTTTTTGTTTGTTTGGTTTGTTTTTGGTTTTTGTTTTTTTGTTTTTTTTTTTGAGACAGGAGAAGTTGTAGTTCTAGGATTTTTGTTTTTGTTTGTTTTAGTGGTCTTATGGGGTAGCCCTGGCTGTTCTGGAGCTCACTATATAGAGCAGGCTAGTCTTGAACTTACAGTGATCACCTGCTTCTGCTTCCCCATTGCTGCAATCAAAGGTGTGCGCCAAAACAGCCAGCCCGTGTTTGTTTTTTATGAGGAAGTATTCATTTCATGCTTGAAATTTTGTGTTTGTTGAGGCTCACACTGAAATCATGCTGATTTTTTTTTAATCCTAATAAAATTTTCAGCTTTATCTGGGCCTTTATCACCAGTAAATAATAAATTATGTGTGCTTTCTAGCTCGTTAAGGTCTTGGAACGAAGAGCAGAGATGTAGAGTGCTGTCCAGCCTGCAGGAAGCTCTGGGTTTAGTCTCTAGCACTGCATGAAACTGGGTGTAGTGGCACCCTGTAATCACCTGTAATCCCAGTGCTCCGGAGGATGAAGGGTTCAGGGTCATCCTCAGCTACACAGGGAATTGAAGGCCAGCTGGGCAAGGTGAGGAATGCTAAGGGAGGGCAATAGTTGGTGTGAGGAAGCAGGTGTGAGCAAAGAACAGCGATGGTGTGATGGTTAGTGTTGTCAGCTTGACAGAGCCTGCAGTTAGCTGAAGAGTCTGAATGAGGGACTGCCTAGATTTGGTTGGCATATGAACATGCCCATGAGAGAGTCTCATAACTGGGTAAACAGAAGTGGGAGGACAGACCCTGAATGTGAGCAGACCAGGGTGGGTGCTGGTCTGAATGAAAAGGAGAAGACACTGAGCACAAGCATTCACCATCCTCTGCTTCTTGACTCTGGATGCAGTGTGGAATGTGGCCAGCTGTCCCCTGCTCCTGTCTCTGTGACTCTCGGACAGTGATGGACTGTCAACGGGAACTGGGAGCCAAAATGAGCACTTTATTCCCAACTTGTTTTTGTGAGAGCATTGTTTAAAGATTTATTGTGTGTGTGTGTGTGTGTGTGTGTGTGTGTGTGTGTGTGTGTGTGTGCGCGCGCGCGCACATGTACATGTTCATGCACATGTGGGTACAAGTCCACAGAGCACATTGGAGAGTGTTGGGTCCCCTCGAGTTGAACTTACCAGTTACAAGTTGCCTGACATGGGTGCTGGGAACCGAACTTTGATCCTCTGAAAGAGTAATATGCACTTTTAATCACTGAGCCATCTCTTCACTTTCTATGAGAGTATTTATTTTTGTCATGGTATTTTATCACATCAATATGTGCATATGTGTACATGAAAATGTTATAATGAAACACATTGTTTGTATCTTAACTTTAAAAACTTAAAAATGCAGATTTTTTTTCCTTAGGAAAGGTTATCATAGCTGTACTTCTGACCGCTGTAAGTGCCTGTAGCGTGGTTTAATCTGGCCATCTAGAGTTTGCCGCTTGCGTATTCTGTCACTGGAGTACATGGCCAACCACGTGTAGGTGTTTGTCGGTAAACTAGTAAATGTCCTAGCTTCCACAGAGTAATCATGTCTTTTATCACTCTGGCTCACCATATCATTCTTCCACTGGGCTTATTATTTTTCAGAATTCTACTTTAAGTTTCATTACTCTAAAAACGTAGAATACAAATCCAATAATTGCTAAATTAGAGATGAGCTTTTATGAAACTTGTTATTTTTCTAGTTTGAAACAGTACTTGGGCCATATTATTTGGTGTATTGACTGTATCTTTTTTGATGTCAACTGAGTTCATAAACCAATATTATCAGCAATGCAAAAGGATTACAGGTTTGCATCAGCTTTGGGGCTAGAATTGGGAGGAAGCCTTTCTACCTTTATTTTTGAATTGGTCTAGTTCTGCCAGAAGATGGCATTATCTCCTTCTGAAAAACATTTGCTGTTGAGTTAATGCTATGTTTTGAGTGCAAATAAAATTATCTTTATCTGACCATTTTTTCTATGAGAAAAAAAATCACGATCTAAACTGCCTAACTGTGAAACTGCAAATCTTTGTTTTTTACCATTCCTTCTCTTTTTAGGGCTATTCCTTTGTTGCTCCTTCCATCCTCTTCAAGCGCAATGCAGCTGTCATAGATCCTCTTCAATTCCATATGGGAGTTGAACGTCCTGGAGTAACAAATGTTGCCAGGAGTGCAATGATGAAGGTATATAGGTGTGGTTGCCTCAGTGATGGATTTGTGGTTTCTTTGAATGTTTAGACACTGATTGATGTCTTAAGTCTAGTAAATTTGCTAGATTATCATTCAACTGAAGGACAACTTTAGAAAATGAATAAATAAGTGGAAATAGCAGTGTTTTCCCTAGAGGATTCTTAACGTCAATGTTTATGAGCTCCTTTTTACCATGATAGAGGACAGTACATCTTGAACAAATGTATGGATGAAAATATAGATATACTAAATATTTTAATGATTAAACATATTGCATTCAAATCTGTTAACAATTTCATGTTAATTTACAGCTTTATATATCCTTTGTGTATTGCTACCAACCTTTTATTAAATTACGTGATGTTGGTCTTTTATCAGGACTCACCATTCTATCAACACTATGACCTAGATCTGAAGGACAAACCTTTGGGAGAAGGAAGTTTTTCAATTTGCAGAAAGTGCGTGCACAAAAAAACTAACCAAGCATTTGCCGTCAAAATAATAAGCAAAAGGTATGACCAGTCTTAGCAGTCTTTCTTGGGTGTTTATACTACTTTGAAAGTTCTGTAAGTTATGGAGAAGGAAATCAACTATATATTGCAAGGCGTTTTACATACCAAGCTTAGCCATTTACTGCATTAGCTGATTCTGATACTTCTAGCACTAATCTTTTCTGATGAATTAATCAATTCTGGACAAATGATAATCTGTTATATTTTATGTGAAAACTGTCTTGTGGTAATGATATATTTAATCAGATTTGCTTGGTGACTACTTTTAGTTGAGTATTTGAAATCAAAATTGTTTAGCAAGCCTCCTGATAGCTTTGAGAACAGAGCCAGATAGTTGTTCTGCTAACAGGATGTTACCATTACCAAATCGTTAGGCAAGAAGGCATACATTTCTTTGTATGACTGGCTCTCTTCTGACTCAGAGGGAATAATTTTCTTAAAATAAAAAGTTTTACTTTTCTGGTGGGCAGTATGATTCATTACTTTTGTGGAATCTCATTTTGATACTTTGACACAGGTATTCTGAATACACTGTAAATAAAAACAATTAGGCATGGTGCACTGACATAAAAATCCACTTCATTGGAAGAGACATGTAGATGTTCATTTTTTGATTTTGTAGAATGGAAGCCAATACTCAGAAAGAAATAACAGCTCTGAAACTCTGTGAAGGACACCCCAACATTGTGAAGCTACATGAAGTTTTCCATGATCAGGTATTTCATAGACTCCCTGTCCCATGCACATGGACTAGTTCATGTACAGGATTCAAACTTCTCACCAGTTTTATTGGTGCTGCTGAGAATCAGGACCATGTACTAACTCCTAGCATCTAGGAAACAGAGAGAAACTCGCACACACTCTTACCTCTGGATCAGTTCATCCTTTCACTTCAACTTGCCTCCATCCTTTGCTGCCATATTGACATGGGTAGATGCCAGAGGGGCAAGTACTCAATATACCACTGTCACCAATTGCAGTGTGCTTATGGTGAATGCAGTTGCCACCCACCATCACTTAACCCCTGCATATCAGCACTTGGTGATTTTAAGCCTTCAACATTCTTTTCACTCCCAGCATCACACAGACTCTTAAGGCCAGTTGCTGCAAGCTAAAAAAACAAACAGGAAGCAAAAAGACAAAGATGTTGCCTTTCATCTTGGTCCAAGTGGTGACATCTGCTAAGCCTTCAGGACAGGTCCTTCTATGTTCTCCTCTACTCTTAGTTCTGCTTTTCAACAGAAGTCTCACATGGAAGCCTGTCACTTGGACATGGGAGAAGTATCGCTCTGGCTGGTCCATAGCACCTCTAAGCTCCTTCCAGTGCCTGAAAATACTCTATTTCCATATCTTTTCTCTGACACTGGACTTCAGAACCCAACAAGCCTTTAATTAACTTTGCTGTCGTAGAGGAGGCAGGTTCATAGCCTGGTTTTTATGTCAGGTAACAAACAACTTGGTAGCAAACAAATTGGTATCATCTTCTCCTTTCTCTGGTTCTCATAAGCAAGACCTCTTGAAAATACTCTCATTTCTCCTCCACTGCCTTCTACCTCATTGACCTACTCAAATTTTCATCTGAGCAGTGAATCCCTTGTCCATTCAAGATGCACACTGAAAGACAATATTTTGTTGATGCAAACACAGAGAAAACTCACCTAGCAATCATGAAACTGCTGTCTGGCCTTAGACACCCCATCTGTGACCCTAACTGTATCTCAGCCCAAACATTGGATCTTGAAACTTCTGACTAATGTCTCAAGAACTCTATCACAGCCAGTTACTGCGGTACACGCCTGTAATCCCAGCACTCTGGGAGGCAGAGGCAGGTGAAGATCTGAGTTTGAGGCCAGCCTGGTCTACAAAGTGAGTCCAGGATAGCCAAGGCTACACAGAGAAAGCCTTTCTCAAAAAACAAAAACAAAAAGCCCTCTATCCCTAGTTTTTTAAATTTCATGTTACAAGTTGATTATTGGCAACTTTTAAGTTCAAGAGGCACTAGAACCGAAATTCTCTTATGATGTAATGCTACGTGTGTTAGTATATGTCGTATACTATAGTACATGTAGTAGTATAAATGTAATAATTCTGCTGTGCACTTCAGTTTTTCTCCTGAGAGCTGACCCGCACATCTATACAGTCTTATTCTCAAGGAGTGGTGATGTTAATTAAGAGCGGATCTGCAGCCTTTGGCTGCACAGGGTTGCCGGTCACTTTGTGTGCTGTGACCTCTTTACATAACAAATTAGCACAAACTTAATATGTTCTCTACTGAAACAATGAATGGACATTGGTAGTCTGTGATCAGGTGTGCTGATTTACACTCAAGGAGTAGACACAGCTGCCTCCGTGTGGAGATTCCAAGGGTCAACTTGTGTGCTTGACTCTTTGCTTCTGGAAGCTACTCATTTTCTTTGTCTTGTTGCCCTTCTGTGCAGTACTCTAATGTCTTGATTCCATAGTCTAATCTCATACCTTAGATGCTGATGAATAATTCAGGGTAATCATCCCATCTCAAGATTCTTAATCATGCGCTCTGGAGAGATGTCTCAGTGGTTAAGAACACTGTCTGCTCTTCCAGAGGCCCTGGGTTCAATTCCCAATATTCATCTCACACCCATCTATAATTGTAGTCCCATGGGATCCAGTGTCCTCTTCTGATGTGCAGACACATATTCAGACAACACACACACACACACACATACATGCATACATACATACATCTTTTTTTAAAAAAGAATCTTAATCATGGGCTGAGCATGGTGGCACACAATCCCAGCCAGAGGAGACAGAGACAGATAGACCTCTTAAATTCAAGGCCTGCCTGATCTACATAGTGAGACCCTGTCTCAAAAAAAAAAAAAAAAAAAAAGCAACAGTGATAAAAGAACCTTACTTAGGTTCTTACTACAAAGTCCCTTTTGCCATTTATGATAAGAAACCCAGGTTTAGAGGTTAGGATTTGTCATCTGGAGGCATCACTCAAGGTGCCACCTGTAGCTTGTCTTAACAACAGACTTTATTGATAAGGGTCCTAGAATTTATACAGGAAAATGACATCCTGTGATTGTTCTTTGATATCTTCTGGGCTGTTCTCTTCATAGAAATAATGCAAAATGTAGTGGATTTCTAACAGTATTGAATCAAAATAATGAGAGTCAAAGCAATTGTTATAAAAGAAACATTCGCTGGGCATGGCATGCCTGTAATCCCAGCACTCTTGGAGGAGAAGCAGGCAGATCACTGTGAGTTCTAGGCTACTCTGGTCTACAAAGCCAGTGCAGGACAGCCAAGGCCACACACAAAGAAACCCTGTCGCAGGAAAAAAAAAATCTACAGTGAGTCACGGATATTTACAGTAAAGATCCACAGAAATCCTGTAATTAATCGTTGAGCCCTACATTTATCAAACACTGCCTTTCTTTCCAGGGAACTTCCCATCAGCTGAGTGGCGGCAGTTGCACATGCCGCTACTTAAGATCCCCTAGATTATTGTCAGCCCAGCTCACAGCCTAAATATGAAAATACAGAAACTCAGAGTTAGAGCAGAGTTCAAAAGAAAGGAAATGAGGTAAAGGAAAAGATTGTGAAGATTTTGCTGAAATACTTGGAATTTTTATCTTTGCCAAAATAGAATTCTAAAAAGGCACATTATCCTTTAACTCTTTGCTCTAAATACAGAGCTTGTTAATAGGTTGCTTAAGCAAGGGATTATTTAGATTTACTGATTACTAAAATGCTGGAAGACATGTGCTCCCTTTCAGTAAGGCCCTACGTTATTCTTTCTTCTTCTCCCCTTTCTAGCTTCATACATTCCTTGTGATGGAGCTTCTGAACGGGGGAGAACTGTTTGAGCGCATCAAGAAAAAGAAGCACTTCAGCGAGACTGAGGCGAGCTACATCATGCGGAAGCTTGTCTCGGCTGTGAGCCACATGCATGATGTTGGGGTAGTGCACAGAGACCTGAAACCTGAGGTGGGACAGTGTGACCTCTTACCATTCAGCCTGCTCTCAGTGTTAGCTAGCCCTCACGTAGCCGCCAGGCTTTAGGGGGCAGCTTTTTCTCTGGTGCCAGTAAGTAAATACTGGAAGATATGTTTCTTAGGGTTTTTTTTTTCTTTTTCTTCTGTTTTCTGTGTCAGTCTAAAATAAATTCGTCCTTTTTTTTCCCTCTTGCCAGCTGATCATCTTGAGGTTATATTTGTAAGTGTGAGAGCCTTTTATGGGAAAAAGGCTTCATGCAACAGTTGTATCCTAAAAATAGCAATGGAAATTTTTGTAACAAAAAAATAATAGCCCTGCTATATGTATTCCATCTTGGGGGGGGGGTAGTTGTTTGTTTTGATAGTGTATTTTGAAACCTTAATTTTTACATTTTTTAATCAAATTGATAGCTCCTAAACAGTATTGTATGTAATTCTGTTCTACATAGTTACACATGAGGCACTGTCTTGGTTTAATAAGCTATCCTCTCTATCTCTCTATCTCTCTATCTGTGCTTTGGTATGCTCGTGCACTGTGGTGTTTATAGACCTGGAGAGCAATGCAGAGCAACAGCCTTTTAAATTTCTTTCAGAAGGTTAATGAAGGTTTTTAACTCAGAATTATCCCCTTTTAGTTTCAAAAATGTGAAAATTCCTCCCTTTCTAAAAGCAAGTAATAATGAAACTTGAAAAACAAAAACCAATGACTGAAAAAAAATGATCATCCTTTACCATATGAGAAATTATATATATTTCTGGCCCAAAATAGGACATTATTTTTAATTCCCATGTGATTATAATATATTTTCAAGTATATTTAAAATATTAATGCGTTTGATGTTCCTTTTTTTATTAAACCAAAAAGGATATTTCGGTAAAATCAATTTTTTATCATGTGCTTAAATTATTAGGTGTTTAAAAGCTGGGCAGTGGTGGCACACACCTTTAATCTCAGGCGTTACAAGGCAGAGGCAGGTGTATCTTCAGAGATACAAGGCCAGCCTGGTCTGCAAATTGAGTTCCAGCCAGGGCTACACAGAGAAACTCTGTCTCAAAAAAAACCAACCAAACAAAAAAGATGTTTTAAAAATGGAAATATATGCATTCAAATACATAGTCATCTCTCTGTATCTATGGAGGACTGGTCATCCTGCAGATGCCAAAGGTATCAAGTCTCTTACATAAAATGTGTATTATTGCCACATAGCCTACATGATCCTTTTATATACTTTAATTCCTCTCTCTAGATTACTTATGATATCTATAAGTAACAGGTAAATAGTTATGATACTGTGTATTTTAGGTAATCATCACAAGAAAAAAAGTCTTTGAATTTTTCAATACAATTTTTGGAGGGTTTGGGGTTTTTTGTTTTTGTTTGTTTAGTTGGTTTTTGCAGGGGTTGTCTTTTTTTTTTTTTTTTTTTTTAAGTTTCCAGTCCATGGTTGGTTGAACCCTCAGTTGTGGTCCTCAGTAAAACAGAAGGCTGGTTACAATTGGTTTTCTCCTTTAAAGGTTTAAATTTCTGTGAGTACTTTCTATCACTGTTCTTCCCATTGCTAGTAATTAATCAGAAGGGGCTTGCGTCTTATGGACTTGCAACTATGACAGCTCCCGCTCCGCTTCCTTCACCATAGTTCTCACTCTCCTACGTAACACCCACTGAAAACATGGTGCTCTGTGCCTTAGAGATTAGCTGTCTATTTTTAAATGTGAAAGCACACCACTTAAATGTTTGCTTGATAGACAAGGAACAAGCATGTAGTTTTTAATGGAAAAGATCTGTTCCATGACTGTATAGAACTCATTTTCACATGTTTTATTCTTTGATAACTGGCCATCTGTCATCTCATGAGTCTCAAATGAGGCACATGTCCTCTGCAGCAGAATGTAAATTTGTCTACTTACTTTCCTGATAAAAAGAGACTTCTACTTCTGTAGCTCGAAATGAAGCAGAATTATTGGATCCCACAGCATGTTCCACCAGCATTTTATTCCTAAACTAGGTTTTAGGAAAGTGAAAGTGTACCTTTGAACTAACATTTTCCTAACCATAGCTCTCACTTTGACTTTTAAATGGCAGAGTATATTATTTCCAAACTAAAAGTTTAATCCCTTTGCTATGCAGCATTTTAGTTCTGACTATTTTTGGTACATGGTTAGATGACATTCGTTTTCTGCAATAGACATAACTCTTAAGTTCTAGGTGATAATCAGACAAATTTAGAAGCTGGCTGACATTCTTTGTAGGCTGCTTTGTAGTCTTCATATTGATCCTCTTAAAAGATTAAGACAAGTTCTATATGTGATAGTATTTTCGGGCAGACATTGAAATGAGGATAGAAGTGGATCAGCCATTACTTCGTCCTGTTTCTGATCATACACCCCCCCCACGTAGAACTGTCCTGACACTTCACTTTTTACCTTGGGGCAGGAGGTAGGAAGTCAGCGTGCTCTAATCTGACATATTCTGTAATAGGAGGAATGCATTAAAGTCGTCAGTTTAAACTGAATGCCCTGCTCCTTTTATTTCTCCAAGAAGCAGGACCAAGGAATTTCTTCATTAGCCTTAGGGGACTGAACTTGTCATTTCCAGAACCTAGGCAGACCCTGTGAAGATGGAGCTGAACATGCTTCCTGTAAGATCTGTAGTACAGTGCCCAGCACTGCAGAGAGCCTTAGCGTAATTGCTGAAGGACAGATACCTCCCAGGAAAACACCCGTGAGCTGTGATTTAAGTTATCAAAAATTTAAGAAAACTTATATTTTTCTTTCTTTTCTTTCGCTCTCACTTCATCGTCTCTTTCTTTTACATAAGTTTACATTTGTTTTTTTTTCTTTTTTAGAATTTCATAAGTGAGTACTGTAGTTACCTCAGTTCCACTTGCCTTCTCTCCACTCCAACCACCATGTCTCCTTTACCCCCTATCTGACTGTTTCTGAGGGCTTGCCCTTGGAGAAGACTGATTTTTCCCTTTGTGGGCAGCCATTCATGGCTTGTAGCTCTTCATCTAAGGCTAGCTAGGGCTTTGTAAGATTTCTGTCCTCTACACTGGAGTATCAACTGGTGGTATCCCTGCTGGTCTTGTTTAGACAACCAGATTGTTACAACCTCATGGGTACAGCTCCCTGACATATACAGAAGATTTTATCTCACAGGAAATATCCTGATCTTCTGGCTCTTAACAATCTTCCCACTCCTTTTCTGTGATGTTTCCTGAGCCCTAGATGTAGGAAGAGTTGTGTTATAAAACTATCAATTTAAGATGAGTACTCCCTTGGGTCAATGTTCTCTTTATTTTAACCTTTTGTAAATTTCTGCCATGGTCTCTGACTTCTGTAAAAAGGAACTTCTTAGCTGGGCATGGTGGCACATACCTTTAATCCCACCATTCAGGAGGCAGAGACAGGCATATCTCTGTGAATTTGAGATCTCAGCCTGGTCTACATATTGAGTTTCAAGCCAGCCAGGCTTGCATCAGAGTGAGATGCTGTCTAAACAGAAAGTTTGTGTGTGTGTGTGTGTGTGTGTGTGTGTGTGTGTGTGTGTGTGAGAGAGAGAGAGAGAGAGAGAGAGAAAGAGACTTTGATGAGAAGTGAGAGCTATTCATTCACAATCCCCCTGAGGGGGGAGCAGCCTTACCAGGCCACAGAGAAAGACAGTGCAGCCACTCCTGATGAGATCTGATAGACTAGGATCAGAAGGAAGGAGAGGAGGACCTCCCCTATCAGGGGACTTGGGGAGGGGCATGCGTGAAGAAGGGGGAAGGAAGGTAGGATTAGGAGGGGAGGAGGGAGGAGTTTATGGGGGGGATACAAAGTAAATAAAGTGTAATTAATAAAAGTTAAAAAAATATTTTATTAAAAAAAAGATTTCCATTGATTTAGGAATGAGTCATTAGTGGGTTCCTCTCTAGGGCCCTTAACCAGCCATAATAGTTGACTAAAGTTACAGTATCAACCAGAATTCCCTCCAATTGAGTTGGCCTTGAGACCAATTAGTTATCCCCAAGATATAAATGCCACTATTGCATATCTCACCATGCTAGTCATTATTGTGATTCACAGGCATTACAGATGTGTAGAACTACTGATTATTTTTCTCTCTTGGCAGTTTGAACATCAATTTTGAATACTATGAGAACATTTCCTTAGGAGGAGACTTCCATGTCAGTTTCAGCCCAATTCCTCTAAGTCCTGTGTCTGAAGTGTAGTATCGTCAGCAGTAGTCTTAAGGCGCCAAGGTTAATGGCAGTAGTCTGTGATTTGGAAGTCTGTTGGATTCCTGTTACCAACAAGTGGAAAGGAGGTTTCCTGTGCAGTGCACTGGGTATTTGCTAGTATTTGGCTTTTAGAGTAGATCATTATCACCCCGAGTGGTAAAGCTTTTTTCAAATTATTTACATATACACACATATACACTTATATATGGGTTTTGTTTGGGTTTTGGAGACAGGGTTTTTCTCTGTAGCCCTGGCTATGCTGGAACTCATTCTGTAGACCAGGCTGGCCTCAAATTCAGAAATCTGCCTGCCTTTGGGATTAGAGGTGTGTACCCCCAGTACCTGGCAGAATCTTAGGTCTTTTTTTGTGTGTGTATCTTTTTGTTTTATTTTGTGTGTGTTGGTTGGTGTTTTGCATGCATATATGTCTGTGTGAGGGCATCAAATCCCCTGGAACTGGAGTTACAGACAGTTGTGAGCTGCCATATGGGTGCTGGGAATTGAATCCATATGATTCAACCAATACTTTTAACTACTGAGCCACCTCTCTATCCCCTGTATATGCATTTTTTGAAAAACATGTTTTCCTATAGCTTTTCTAATTGTTTTTAGTGTTCTTTATCCTTCCCTCCCTCTCTGTATTGCACGTTTTTTCCCTCCTCAGATTAACTCCCTCCCCATTTTTTCTTACTTCCTTCTACATAACAATCCTACTACCTCTTCTCTAGAGCTGCTCTACCCTAGTCCTGTTTTACCCCCTACTTTCTGCAGTTACTCCAGCTTGTGTACTCACATCTGAAAATTTGGAGCTAGGAACCTCAGATGAGAGAGGTTATCTTTCTGGATATGTACTACTTCACTCAATATATTTTCTAGTTCTGTCCATTTACCTAAAAATTTTATGATTTCATTTTTCTTTACCGCTGAATAGAATTTTGTAATTATATGTATATCACATTTTCATTATCCATTCATCAGTTGAAGGATATTAGGGATGTTTCCACTTCCTGACTGTTGTAAACAGGAGGGCAATGGCATGGCTTAGCAAGTTACCATAACACATTATTAGGTTTTGTTTGTGTGTGTCTTTGTTGTTGCTGTTTATTTTGGTAGGGTTTTTTTCTTTCTTTTATATTGAAAAAATTTTTTACATTATATATTCTGATTATAGTTACCCCTCCCCCATTTTCACCCCACCTCCCAATCAAATCTACACCCTTTCTCTCTCATTAGAAAACAGACTGACAAGCAGAGGCAGGTGGATCGCTGTGAGTGTGATGCCAGCCTGGTCTACAAAGCAAGTCCAGGATAGCCAAGGCTACACAGAGAAACCCTGACTCAACAACCCCACCCCACCCTACCCCAAAAAAGAAAAAAGTAAAGAGACAGACATCTGAGAGAGAGAAAGAAAGAAGAAAGAGAAAAAGAGACAGACATCTAAAATAATAAAAAAATAATAATGTAAAAATTAACAAAGTAGACTAGGATAAAACAAACAGCAAAAAAAGAACCAGAGAAGAAACAGATATAGACACAGAGATACACAGATGTTGGTAAACAATTTTAACTTGATTTGTACATTCTTGAGCATGAACTTTGGAGTTGTACTGTCAAAGGGTTGGCCAGGCCTGGAGGTTTTTCTTCCTTTTATCAATGAAATATCAAATGTTCTTTATTTCAACTATATTAGTAAGAAGGTAAATGATTTTCCAGAACTGGAACCATTTAATCACTGTAAGATCTTAACACTGGCTAAAGACAAAATAATCAGATTCACTTGCTGGGTCATGTTGTGGTATTTGTTTGATTTAAACTGTCTGCATCAATACAGTGACCAGCATGCACTAAGCATGTAAGGAATGCAGAAGTATTGCAGGGAGGCTTAGCAGTAGGGCCTTGAGTGAAGGAATGATTGAAAATAATACTTCCTGAGTATTGGAAGCAGATATCTGAATATCAGAATATTGTCTGTTTTAGCAAAATTCCTTCTGAATATAATACAGATCACTGTGTTTTTATTAGTAGACTATGGTGGATACATGTTTATTTATGGTTTTTTTTTTTTTATGTTGGGTGTGGTATTCTCCTGTGAGGATGCAAGCAAAAGCCAGATGAGGACACTTGGTGTCTTGCTCTCGTTCTGTACTTTATCCCCTCAAGGCAGAGTATCTTACTCAGCCTAGAAGCTACATTAGTGACCGGCAAGCCTCCCCTCCCACAGAGCTGGGATTATAGGTGCACATATTGGTAACACTCGATTTTTTAATGTAGGTGTTAAGGATTTTAACTCAAGTCCTTTTGCTTGCACAGCAAGCATCTACCCATGGAGCCATCTCTCTAGTCCCTCATTTACTGTTTTATTCAGCAGTCCCTTCAGAGATATTGTGGTCTTGATTCCACAATAAAGTATATATTACAGTAGAGCTGATCACAATTCTTTTATTTCCTGGTGCACATAAAGTTATGTTTGTACTATACGGTGTTGAGTATGAAATAGCAGTATACCTTTTAAACAATGTACAGACTTTAAATTTTTGTTACAGTTGTTGAGCCATTCTAGTGATCATTTGAGCTTTCAGTGAGTCCTGATAATTTTGCTCAAGGGTGATCTGTTGCTGCAGTAATTGACTAAGCCTTTCATGAAACATTTCTCGGTAGCATGTTGATAGCATGCTACCCACAGTACAACTGGAAACCAGCTTTTCAAACCCTCCCATTGCTTTACCAACTGAGTTTGTATGATACTCTAAAACCATTGTTGTCATTTCAACAATGTTCACTACATCTTGACCACAGCAGACACCATCTCATGAAACTACTCTCTTGTTCCAACTTCTCATGCTCTAAGGTTTTACTGTGAGTCTGCAGCAATTCAGGCACATCTTCATCTTCTGCTGCTGTGATAGTTCTCTTGCTATTTCTACCACATCTGATTTTACTTCCTCCACTGAAGACTTGAACCTCTCAGGATCATCCATGAGGCTTAGGATTGACTTATTCCAAACCCTGTTAGTCAATATTTTTATTTTTGAAATCACAAGTGTTTTCTTAATGATATCTGGGACAGTGAATCTTTTCCAGAAGGCTTTCAGTTTATTTTTCTCTGATCCATCAGGATTGTGATCTATAATTGCTATAGCCTTAAGTGTTTGTCTTAAATAAAGACTTGAATGCCTAAAAGACAATTGACACAGGGACTGCCAAATGGGTGTTGTGTTAGCAGACACTTGTTTGATGTACTCTGCAGTGGAGCTCCTGGGAGAACCATTACATTGTCGAGGAACATCAGTATTTTGAAAGGGGTCTTTCTCTGAGCAGGTAAATGTTCAGTGAACCATGTTGTAAGTACAAATGCTGTCATCAAGGCTCTGTTGGTCCATTTAAGCACCCAGGCAGAGTATATTTTAATTCTTACGGGCACTAGGATTCTCAAAATGGCAAATGAACAGTGACTTCAGCTTAACATCATCAGCTATGCACTCCTCTGTCAGGAACACCACCTTTTCCTTTGCAGCTCTGAAGCCAGGCCTTGTTGAGTTTACTCTCCAGTTTTGAAGATCTGGTTGGTGCCTCTGACTTCTCAGTGAGCTCAGCTGCTATTCTGGATGACTTGCTGTAGCTTTCATGCCAGCAGTACCTGCTGTTCAGCCTTCATGTCTTCTTCTGAAAATGACTTTACTCCTATAAACCTTAGGACTAACTCTGCTTACTAGCTTTAAACTTTTCTTCTACAGCTGACTAACCTCTCAGTCTTTACAGAATTTAAGGCCTTGCTTCTGGATTAGTAAGGGAATGCTGTAGCTGGTTTGACCTATCCAGAGTTTCTCCATGTGAACAAGGCCTTTTGCTTTTTATCATTTATGTATTCACTGGCATTATGCTTCTAATTTCCTTCAATAACTTTGATTTTGCTTTCATAACTTAGCTAAGTGGCTCACTTGCCTCTGCTGTCTGTCTGTTCTACCTGCCTTCCTCACTGAACTTCATCACTTCTTTTAAAGTGAGGAATATGTGACTCTTCCTTTCATTTGGCCACTTTATAGGGCTATTGATTGACCTAATTTCAGTATTGTGACCCAGTGATTAGATTGTCCTGAGTAAAGGGACAGTTGAAGACATCTGTCCAGTGATACTATCAACACATGATTATTGATTAAATTCATTATCATGTATGCAATTCATGGTCCCCCAATCAGTGACAATAAAGTTGCAATACTAATAGCAAAGATTACTAGTCACTGGGGCTGGAGAGATGGCTCAATGGTTAAGAGTGCTTGATGCTCTTCCATATGACCCAGGTTCCATTTCCAGCACTCACAACCTTCTGTAACTACAGTTTTAGAGGATCCAACCCATTCTTATGGCTTCTGAAGGACCAGGCACAGACACTCATGGAGGCAAAACATTCATATACATAAAAAAGTAAGCAATTCTAATCTCTAATTATTAAAGATCACTGGTTATATAAATGTAATAGTAATGAAAAAGCTTGACATTGTGAAAAGTACCCAAATTCGACAGGCACAGGGTAAGCACATCCTGTTGAAAAACTGTGTTGAAAGGTTTCTTTGGCAGGGGGCAGGCACAAATCTGTTTTAAAAAGACAGTCTAATAAAATTATTTATACTTGTATTTTTGTGTGCCAGGCCCTGGGGACAGCATCATAAATGAAGTGGACACAGAGTCCCTGCCCTTACATAATTATGGTCTGACAGAGACCAGAACATCCAGCTAAAAATAGAGAGATGATAAGTGCCCTAAAGGAAAACTAAAACATGATGGGAGAAAAAAGGGGAAACTGGTGCTTAAGTTTGGTGGGATGGTTAGGGCAGCATCTGTAAACAGAGTGAGTATACAGCAGTCAGGCAAGTGCAAGTGAGATGCTAGAGGAAGGGGAATACAAACACAGACATGGGAAAAGGTGGAGACAAAGGCTGTGCCTTGAGAAGCAACATGGTGCAGTTGAAGAGCACTTGACATGACACTGTAAAAACTGAAGTGATACAAGCAGTGTAAGGAAGAGATCATGATGCGTTGACACCCAGACCCCAGATTGTCCCATGAGAATACCAGATTGTCCCATGGTCGAACACCAGAATTTTCACACAGTGTTCCCTAGATAGATCAGCAGGTCTCCTGTTATTTCAGTGGGAATCTAACGAGAGTATTGACATCCTACAGAATTTATTGTTCACTGATGAAAACGACAATTTGGAAATTAAAGTAATTGACTTCGGGTTTGCACGCCTCAAGCCACCTGACAACCAGCCGCTCAAGACTCCATGCTTCACCCTTCACTATGCAGCACCAGAGCTCTTGACGCACAATGGCTATGATGAGTCCTGTGACCTATGGAGCTTGGGTGTCATCTTGGTGAGTTTGTCCTAACAGCCAGTAAGCCTGATGATCTCTTTGGTGGCCGTGGTGTGTAGCTGTCACTACAGTTTTTCTTTTGTTCATGAAAAAGCTAGATGTGCTGGCCTGCTTTCTATATAACCAGGAGAGCCCCCACTAATGTGTATTTCTACTTCTTAAAGCTTATAATAGAAAAAAGTAGAATTTAGTTATTTTGGAAGATTTAGGTTGCTGTGGTTCAGATAAAGTATACATCATTGTTTTGAAAGAAGTGCTGTGATTACATAAGCCATATACTGTGTTAGACAAAATACTAAAATAGTGGCTCCTTAATAAAAACACTTATTCTCTGAAATTTCACACTAAAAGTGTAAGTAAACAGGATTGTTTGGGATAAATTGACAGGTTTAATAGATACAACTAGGAGTATATATAGTACCTTACAGTTATATGGGGAACATGCTTTTCACAAAATGTGCATGATATGAAACTAGAAAAACCTCCACATATGTTCACCTCAAAATAGCTTTACTTGGTCTTCATATAATCTGTAATGCAGCATGTTAAGGAGGAACTGCAGACACTGCAGAAAAATAGAACTGAAAATCACATCTCACTAGTCAAAGTTGATATGTGGAAACTTCTCTCTCCCACCTCCCATCGCTGCATGGATGTGGGTTCTTAATCTGTCTTTGTCTACACAGTGTGTGTATATAGGGTGGCTGGGTTTTCTTAAAAAACTAATGGGTTATATTATACCTGTATTTTGAATTTCCAGAATTTATTGAACCATTTTTTGGTAGTAATTAGTATTTCCTCCCTTTTTTCACTAGTTATAAGCTGTAATGATAGATCTTTTTTATATGCATAGTTGCATTTATCTCACAGTTACCTTAGAATTCCCAGGAGGGAATTAAATAAACTTATGTTTATTTTAACACATGCCTAGACTTTCTTCTGTCGGGGTTAGTAGGCATCATCAACTGTGTGTGAACACATTGGATATTACCAATTTTAGCCTTCAGTTATATTACACTGTTCTTAAGATTTGCAGGCATTTCTTTAAATATGTAGTGTGAGCATCTTTTCACCCATGTGGACATTTATATTTTATTTTCTGGATTGCCATTTATGAGTTTGTCTGTTTTCCTCTAGGCAGTTTTTTCTTACAGAGAATTAAAGCTCTAATAAAGACTTAACTCTTGTGTCCATCAATAGTTGGAAATGTTTCTCTGGCTTATCTTTTCTTTATAGTAAACAGGATTTTTATTTATTTTATTTTTTAAATTAGTTTAAGAATGAAATGTTTTTGCTTTTTAATTTCCATGTGGTAAGATATGTCAGTCTTATCTTCATGGAGTGTGGCTTTGATGTCACTACCCTGCCCTCAACTCAGGATTACGGAAATACTCTTCTAAACTTCCTCCAGAATCACTTTCTTATTTTTATACTTCAATCTGTACTACATCTGCAGTTTATTTTGGTGTCAGTTTGTTTCCCCTGTGGCTAGCCACTTGTCCCTGCAGGATGGCTCTTTATTTTTAAGCCTTATATGGCTTTCGTCTGAGCAATTTAAGTCATCATTCATCACTTTCAAACTAAAGCAACATATTTAGGGATAAGAATCTTTATTAAAAGTAAACAAGCAACTTCTGTAGGTTGGAGGGTTTAAGGACTTAAATTTATGACATTTCTTACTAGTAGCAATATCTTTTTTTTTTTTTCTTTTTTTTTATTTAAATCTTTTATTTATTTTTTATTAATTACACTTTATTCATTTTGTATCCCCCCATAAGCCCCTCCCTCCTCCCCTGCCAATCCCACCCTCCCTCCCCTTTCTGCATGCATGCCACTCCCCAAGTCCACTGATAGGGGAGGTCCTCCTCTCCTTCTTTCTGATCTTAGTCTATCAGTTCTCATCAAAAGTGGCTGCATTGTCCTCTACTGTGGCCTGGTAAGGCTGCTCCCCCCCAGGGGGAAGTGATCAAAGAGCAGGCCAATCAGATTATGTCAGAGGCAGTCCCTCTTCCCATTACTATGGAACCCACTTGGACACTGAACTGCCATGGGCTACACCTGTGCAGGGGTTCCAGGTCATCTCCACAAATAGTCCTTGGTTGGAGTAGGAGTCTCTGGGAAGTTCCCTGTGTTCAAATTATCTTGTTCTGTTGCTCTGCTTGTGGAGTTCCCGTTCCCTCCAGCTCTTACTATTTCCCACTTCTTACATAAAATTCCATTCACTCTGCCCATCAGTTGGCCATCAGGCTCAGCATCTGCTTTGACAGTCTATACTGTAGAAGCTTTCAGAGGCCCTCTGTGGCAGGTTTCAAGGTGGTTTCCTGTTTTCTTCTGGCTTTCAGAGGCCCTCTGTAGCGGGTTCCGAGGTTGTTTCCTATTTTCGTTTTCTTCTGATGTACATCCTCTTTGCCTTTCAGGATGGGGATTGAACATTTTAGTTAGGGTCCTCTCTTTTGCTTAGTTTGTTTAGATGTACAGCTTTTAGTGGGTTTATTCTATATTGTATGTTTATATGAGTGAGTATATACCGTGAGTGTCTTTTTGCTTCTGGGTCAACTCACTCAGGATGATCCTTTCCAGGTCCCACCATTTACCTGCAAATTTCATGATTTCCTTATTTTTCATTGCTGAGTAATACTCCATTGTATAGATGTACCACAGTTTCTGCATCCATTCTTCAGTTGAGGGGCATCTGGGTTGTTTCCAGCTTCTGGCTATTACAAATAAAGCTGCTACAAACATGGTTGAACAAATGTCCTTGTTGTGTACTTGCGCCTCTTTTGGGTATATGCCTAGGAGTGGTATGGCTGGATCTTGAGGAAGCGCTATTCCTAGTTGTCTGAGAAAGCGCCAGATTGATTTCCAGAGTGGTTGTACCAGCAGTGGAGAAGGGTTCCCCTTTCTCCACAACCTCTCCAGCATGTGTTGTCCCTTGAGTTTTTCATCTTGGCCATTCTGATGGGTGTAAGGTGAAATCTCAGGGTTGTTTTGATTTGCATTTCCCTAATGGCTAATGAGGTTGAGCATTTCTTTAAGTGCTTCTCTGCCATTCGATATTCCTCTGCAGAGAATTCTCTCTTTAGCTCTGTTCCCCATTTTTTAAGTGGATTACTTGGTTTGTTGCTTTTCAGCTTGTTTAGTTCTTTATATATATTGGATATGAGTCCTCTGTCAGATAGAGGGTTGGTGATGATTCTTTCCCAATCTGTAGGCAGTCGCTTTGTTTTGATGACGGTGTCCTTTGCTTTACAGAAGCTTTTCAATTTCATGAGGTCCCATTTATTGATTGTTGCTCTTAGAGCCTGTGCTGTTGGTGTTCTGTTCAGGAAGTTTTCTCCTGTACCAATGAGTTCTAGGGTATTCCCCACTTTTTTTTCTAGCCGATTTAATGTGTCTGGTTTTATGTTGAGGTCTTTGATCCACTTGGACTTCAGTTTTGTGCAGGGTGATAAGTATGGATCTATTTTCATTTTTCTACATGTAGACATCCAGTTGGACCAGCACCATTTGTTGAAGATGCTATCATTTTTCCATTGTATGGTTTTGGCATCTTTGTCAAAAATCAGGTGTCCGTAAGTGTGTGGGTTTATTTCTGGGTCTTCTGTTCGATTCCATTGATCCACCATTCTGTTTCTATGCCAGTACCATGCAGTTTTTATAACTGTTGCTCTATAGTACAGCTTGAGATCAGGGATGGAGATACCTCCAGAAGATCTTTTATTGTAGAGGATTGTTTTAGCAATTCTCGGTTTCTTGTTATTCCATACGAAGTTGAGAATTTTTCTTTCCAGGTCTGTAAAGAATTGTGTTGGCAATTTGATGGGAATTGCATTAAATCTGTAGATTGCTTTTGGTAAGATGGCCATTTTTACTATGTTAATCCTGCCAAGCCATGAGCATGGGAGATCTTTCCATCTTCTCATATCTTCCTCTAATTCTTTCTTCAGAGACTTGAAATTTTTTTCATACAAGTCTTTGACTTCCTTGGTTAGGGTTACGCCAAGGTACTTTATGTCATTTGTGGCTATTGTGAATGGTGTTGTTTCTCTAATTTCTTTCTCAGCCCTTTTGTCTTTTGTATACAGGAGTGCTACTGATTTTTTTGAGTTAATTTTATATCCGGCCACTTTGCTGAAGGTGTTTATCAGCTGTAGGAGTTCCCTGGTAGAGTTTTTGGGGTCACTCATATATACTATCATATCATCTGCAAATAGTGATAATTTGACTTCTTCCTTTCCCATCTGTATCCCCTTGATCTCCTTCGACTGTCTTATTGCTCTAGCAAGGACTTCCAGCACTATGTTGAAGAGATATGGAGACAGTGGGCAGCCTTGTCTTGTCCCTGATTTCAGTGGGATTGCTTTAAGTTTCTCTCCGTTCAGTTTGATGTTGGCTATAGGCTTGCTGTATATCGCCTTTACTATGTTTAGATATGTGCCTTGTATCCCTGAACTCTCCAGTACTTTAAACATGAATGGATGTTGGATTTTGTCAAATGCTTTTTCAGCATCTAGGGAGATTATCATGTGGTTTTTTTCTTTCAGTTTGTTAATATGGTGGATCACATTGATGGATTTCCGTATATTGAACCACCCCTGCATACCTGGGATGAAGCCTACTTGGTCATAGTGGATAATATCTTTGATGTGTTCTTGGATCCGGTTTGCAAGTATTTTGTTAAGTATTTTTGCATCAATGTTCATAAGGGAGATTGGCCTGAAATTCTCTTTCTTTGTTGAGTCTTTGTGAGGTTTAGGTACCAAGGTGATTGTGGCTTCATAGAATGAGTTTGGTAATGTTCCTTCTGTTTCTATTTTGTGGAATAGTTTGAAGAGAATTGGAGTTAGCTCTTCTTTGAAGGTCTGGTAGAATTCTGCACTGAAGCCATCTGGTCCTGGGCTTTTTTTGGATGGGAGACTTTTGATGACTGCTTCTATTTCTTTGGGGGATATAGGACTATTTAGTTGATTTACCTGGTCCTGATTCAGCTTTGGTGAGTC